TCATGGGGATATTTTGGATGGCCTTATGCTTCCTGGTCTATGGTGAGCTCCCTGTTTCGTATCAGTGTCAGCCCTACGAAGTAGACCAGATCAGGAAACCAACCCCACAGGAAGACTCGTCTTTCTTGATATAGGCTACTACAGTAACCGTATTTTGCACATCTGGTTTTGCTTCTCCTCTCCCGCCCCAGGCAGCTAGGAAAAAGCCAATATAAGTCTCTTCCCAACAGAAGAGAATATCTGTAGCTCAGGGATGAACTGTGGGGGCCCTTGGTGCTCTCTGAGCTTGGTGGTTTTCTTGCAGATGTTTCATTACCCAACTAGATACCCAACTAGTGCTAGAAGGGAGTGGAATTGAGGGAGGGAGGGAGGGAGGGAGGGAGGGAGGGAAGGAAGGAAGGAAGGAAGGACTATGGGGTCCTGGGGGGTGGTTTTCTTGCAGATGTTTCATTACCCAACTTGGTACCATCATCAGTGCTAGAAGGGAGTGGGGCTTGCTTTCTGTTTATGCACAGGTGGCTTGCTCTGTTAGCGTTGTTGGGGTTGTCTAAGAATACTCCCACCAAGACTGACACCAACCCACTTGCCTATAAACAGAGTCCAAACCCCAACTCTCTTCCAGCACTGATGATATTAGCTAGTCAGATAAGGAAACATCGGAAAGAAGACAACTGAGCTAAGTCTTTTCTCAATACTGTCTCCCTTTCTAGGACTTAAGCAATGCTTCTGTCCTTTTTGTGCCATGTATATTTCTCTGCCAAGTTTTTCCCCCCTGTCTTTTCTCTTTTAAATTCATGTTTTCCACTTTTCTTTGAAGAGAAGGTCAACTTGCCCTCTCGTCCTCTAGCGATGGCTTTATCATTTAGCATGGAATGCACATTTCATGTGATGATTATATGGACTGCAAGGCGTTCAAACCGGTCAGTCCTAGAAGAGATCCACCCTGACTGCTCTTTAGAAGGCCAGATCCTGAAGTTGAAACTCAAGTACTTTGCCCACCTAATGAGAAGGAAGGACTCCCTGGAGAAGAGCCTGATGCTGGGAAAGATTGAGGGCAATAGAAGAAGGGGACGACAGAGAATGAGGTGGCTGGATGGAGTCACTGAAGCAGTAGGTGTGAGCTTAAATGGACTCCAGAAGATGGTAGAGGACAGGAAGGCCTGGAGGAACGTTGTCCCTGGGGTCACGATGGGTTGGACACGACTTCGCAATTAACAACAACAACATTTTTCAAGAGCAAAGAGATCCCACCTTCCCATTAAGAGAATCACCCAGCCTTTATGCTTGCTGGAGTGTGTAGGGAGAAAAAAGAGGAAAAGATGAAAAAAAAGATGAAATGGTGCTAATCCTTGCACAGTCTCTTCTTCATTACAGGTGTCATTTTGCTTCTGCTGTTGCAGACCCTTTCACTCTCGTTGAACTAAGTGATATTTACATCTTAATAGAGCTAGATGACAACCACAATTTGTGTGTTTGCAGTTTGTTCTGGGGAGGGCAGGGGAGGACATTCTGTGGTCCCCCAGGCCTGTAACTTTGCAATCCTTGGAGTCCTTCCAAACATAGTCTACAATAAACATTAATAGCATTTTTTTTTAAAAAATGTCAAAACTAAATCCACCGTTGTCTCTTTGAGGTAGGCCAGGCCAGGAAATAGAGAGAACTCTATTTTATTCTTGCAGGTATATTAGCAGAATCTTGAAAGAGTGACAGAGTTTCTTTCTCCCTCCCTTTTATATCAAGGAGAGTCAAGGTGGGGCAATTCTTGAGTTTCTTTCTCACTTTCTCTTCCCTTCCTGGGCCAAGCTGATGTATGCATATATGTACTGTACGTACGTATGTATGTGTATGTAAATGTGTGTGTAGATAGGTAGATAAATAGATTAGAGATAGAGATAGAGATATAAGCCAATATAAGAGAATATTTGTAGATGAAATGAGGAGTCCTTGGTGCTCTCTGAGCTTGCTTGATTTTCTTGCACACGTTTCATTACCCAAACTAGGTAACATCGCCAGCACTGATGATGTTACCTAGTTTGGGTAATGAAATGTCTACAAGAAAAAAAAGCAAGCTCAGAGAGCACCCAGGACCCCTCATATGGAGATATAGAGATAGAGATATGGTAATAGCTGCTGCATACCTTGTTCAAGGCTATCTCCATATTCCTGTACAAATATCAGATGCAAACCATCACATCCACACATATGAAGGTCCAATTAAATTGATTTATTGCTACTCATGGCAATACACAGGAATCTTCTCAACGAATGGTTAGCACCTGCTAGGAGAGAAGGGTGCACAGAATTCAAGAGGGGTTGGATTTAGTCCACTTGTGGCGATGCAGTTACTCCGGGTTGATGCCTCTTTTGACTCCCCCTCTGGGTTCTGCCACTCCTTCTAGATCACCCACCATTCTCTTCGCTCCCTGTGGCCCACAGGCTCTGCCCCCAAGCTTCTTATGTTCTAATCCCAGTCGCTTGTCTATTCAGCAGTCTACAGATCAGCATGACCAAGATGGGACATTTCTGACACCTTGGCTCAATCTGAGCCACTGCCCAAGGCCTTCCGATCATCTACAAGGGCGTTCCTTTTTCTTTTCCAGCTCTGGATTGTCTCTGAAGCCGCGGTTCTCTTCTTTCACCCACAGCCAGAGCTTTTCGGGAAGGGCCTCCAGCTGTACTGTTGCCAAGCTTGCTCCATTTTCACAGAGCTATTAAAAGTTCAGGAATCTCACAAATCACAGATAGATTCACGAGGCTCTTTATCTAAGGAGAGAGTTTTATTAAGACGATAATTCAGAGCTCAAAAGCAGATCACTCTTACCTTAGCCTGCCAGGCTTCCACAAGATGCTAAGTCTGAATGTGGATACAATGGGCAATGTTCAATTAAATAAAACATACGAGGTCTTCAAGAGAGAGCTCACTTGGAACAATCTGCAAAGGTAACCGCTGGGTTGCCTGCCCTACCCCGTCCTACCCCGTCGCATTTGAGCCTAGGCTGGCATGTTTATGTGTGTCCATGGTAGCGCCATCAATACTCACAGTCTCCTGATTTCTAACCTAGCGTTGAACACAGACCTGGGTGTCCTGGCTATGATGAGCTCACAGCCCCAGAAGGACTCAGAAGGCCTTGACAATCTTTCAGAAGACACCTTATCTCCAGAGATGCTGCAGGAGATGTTGTGGCTTTTCCGAAGAGAAGACCGTAAGTCCTTTCAAGGCTTTGACTGCGGAATTTGCTTGGACTATTAGGCTGAGTCCTGTTAGTTCAGGCTTTGGATCTTGAGTAGGAGAGTTGTGGGGAGCATGGTGGGTGTCTTTAGAAAGGCATGAAAATGAAGGAACTCTCCTAGAAAAGAATCTCTGTAGCTCAGGGTTGAAGTGGGGGGGGGGTCCTTGGTGCCCTCTGAGCTTGGTTCTTTTCTTGCAGACTTTTCATTCACCATCTAGGTAGCATCACCACTGCTGCTGAGTGTGGGGATTGCTCCCAATTTATATATAGGAGCTTCCCCTGCCAGTGCTGTGGTTTCCTGGGAGTAGTTCCTTGATTCTTCTTGGTACTTCCTTAATCAAGGAACTACCAAGGAGAAATCCAGACCTCCACCAGGACAGATCGGGAAACAGACACCAGAAGGAATGGAAGAATTTTATTTTATTGTTGTAGGGTATAACAACATAATCTTGAAAGCCTAATAGAGTTCCCCTCTGCCCCCTCTTATACTAAGTGGGATCAGGGTGGTGTTCTTTTGAATCTCCTTCATGCACTCCTTCCTTTCCTAGGGCTGAAATGTCATTGGGCGTTTCTTATCTGCTAACAATTATCAATGAACCAGTGAGTAAAGAACAAGTAACCAGTGGGATGACTTGTCTCCAGAAGCTGAGAAGAGATTGGACAGCCATTTGTCTGGAATGGTATAGGGCAGGGGTAGGCAACCTCGGCTCTTTTATGACTCATGGACTTCAACTCCCAGAATTCCTGAGTCAGCTATGCCGAGGTTGCCTACTCCTGGTATAGGGTCTCCTGCTTGAGCTGGGGATTGGACTAGGACCGCCAAGGTCCCTTCCAGCTCTATTATTCTGTTATTCCTTTACCAACTTTATTGAGTTCCTCTATAAGGAGCAAGTCAAAAAAGTCAACGCGATGGCCGCAGATGTGTAATTAACCCAGAATGTTGTAATTGCAGTTTCCGTCTTTTTTTTAACTCCTTGTCTTCCACAGATGCCCCATCGAGGTAGCTCCCTAGTAGTGATGGGACAAAACTAGAGATGAGAATCATCTTTTGAGCACTTGGACAATAATCAAGGTAATTAACCCATCAACATGAATTTTGTTATTTTCTCTTTCAGCATCTGCATGGAATTACTCTATCCTGGGCCTTTCGGTTCTCGTTCTACTCATTGGCGTGGTCCTCTTGGGAGCAAATATTAGGGCCAACAGGTAAGAAGAAGTCATATTTTGGAGTGGTCACCCCTGCTTGGCACCCAGCATGTCTCTCTATCTCTGAATACAGGATTCCTTAGTCACCAAACGAATCCACTTTCTGGGTTTTCCCGGTGTATTCAACTGCAACTTAATCGAACGTATCAGGATGGCAGAAAAAAAAAACCAAGGCACACAAAACCCACCATGGCTAAATCAAGCAAAACTTTGTACATTGTGCAAATAAAGTTGCAAGTTCTCTTAATAATTTAGTTGCACTAACCTGGCCAGCTCTTGTTTATTTTCACTGCAGATGTCTGCGGAGATTTTCAGTCATCCAGGTCCTCGTTTTTCCCAAACGTGTTTTTTTCAAAAGGCGAGCTGGACTGCTTTTTTCTTGAGGTAGAAGAAGACATTTTGCTTCTCATCCAAGAAGCTTCATCGGTTCTGGCAGGATGGTGGGGGCAATGGAAGGATTGGACTGTCTTCCTCAAGGGAAAAACAATCCAGTTGCCTTTTGAAAAAAACACCTTTGATATTTCCCTGTAGACTTATTCTTCAAACCACTTCTTTCCCCAGAAAGCATGAAAAGTTATAGTTTAAGAGGAATCCAGTCAAAGATGAGAATAGTCAGCGTGCTCAACTTCTTCTGAGCCCGTTTAGTGTAGTGTCTAAAACTACTAGGCTGGAAATTGGGAGACTCTGAGTTCTAGTCCTGCCTTGGACACAAAGCCAGTTGGGTGACCTTGGGCCAGTCACTTTCTCTCAGCCCTAGGAAGGAAGCAATGGCAAGCCACTTCTGAAATCTTGCAGCGGCTAGCCCAGGCAGTTGTCAGGAGTCAAAAATTAAGGCAAAAGCACACATACACAAAGGGCAAACCCCAAAAGTGTTTTTTCAAAAGGCAACTGGACTTTGTTGTGTGTGTTTTTTTTTCCCTTGAGGATGTTTTGCTTCTCATCCAAAAAGCTCCTTCGGCTCTGAAACTTCTTGGATGAGAAGTGAAACGTCTTCAAGAGGAACACAATAACAAGAACGAAGTCTGGTTGCCTTTTGAAAAAGCACTTTTGGGACAACGATGACCTGGATGACTGAGAATCTCCATAGACACCAAGAGCAAGTTAATTGTGATTAGGCCTAGATGAGCCTGGTTAATTCCATCTTGGCTTCCAAACTTTTCCCGAGCAGGGTTGATATCTCTGCATCCTTATTCTGAGCGATTCTTTGGTCCCCCTGACTGCCTGCTATCATATCTGGAGGGCTTCACTTGGAAATAGAGGGCTGAAAAAACATTCTTTTTTCTCCACTCCGCAGAAACCAGAAGATTCTTCTCCTACGCAAAGACGGCTATGAAGCCACCCCGCCTGATGAGATAGAAACGAAGCAAGCCTTTGTGCTGCTCAACAAAGAGAATTCGGATCAATCTGGAGACAGTTTGCTCCCCAAAGCATCAAACATGGGAGAGGTGATGGTACAGTGGACGGATGGGAAAATCTCATCCCTGTATCCCGAGGACAATGAAGCAGAGGCGTAGCACCTAATATCCACCTTCTGGCGTTTGTGAACCCTGTGAGGATTTCTGGACTATTGACATTTTGGGACGGTGGGTCTCAAAGCCAAATTCATTCGGCGGAATCGAAAAGCCGGCAAAAAGCAGACGCCATACTGGCTGCCGTTGAGTTGTACAAGAAAAAGAATCCACCAATCCATTCATCTACCAGCGGTCTTCACACATGTTGAACTAGGTTGGCCTAGCTAGCTGCTAGACAGTCACTTGTCTGAGATGGTATAGGTCCTCCTGCTGGAGCAGGGGGCTGGACTAGAAGACCTCCAAGGTTCCTTCCAGCTCTATTCTATTCTTATGTCCCACATCCTCTGAAATTACATCTGCCCCATGACTGAATTTATATTGGTTGATTGTAATCACCCCTACTCCTAATTTTAGGGCTGAAGTAGATCAGACAAACAAGTTTTAGTTTTTTTTTTTCCTTCTTCTTCTCTAAGGAGCAGTCAGGCTGTTCCGTTTGAACAGCACTGTGACTTCCAAGGAAACTAGGTAAATATTTTTGCCGCCAGTCCAAGCAAAAGTCCATTAAAAAGGCTTTTTAAAGGCTGCTGGATCTCTAGATCTATCTGTACAGATGCCATTCTTCCCAATGAAAACCAGGGAGATGTTTTTGTCTTTTCTCCGACGCCCAGCAACACATTCATTGGGAAATAACTAACATCTCTGTAGGGATACAGTATATCAAAATTTGCACAGCCCCACGATAGTGCCTCTTTCGCCCTGCGTCACCCACCCACCCACCCCCAATAAAGGTGGGCTTTATTGCAATGCCACACCTGTGATCTTCCCAGTTTAGGACAGCTGTCTTGCTTCCCCAGCTTGCATGTTTTGGTATTGTGTCCTTTTATATTTCTGACACTGGTGGAATTTCTACACGAGCAGTCATTTTAGATAGGGTTTGTTTAACTAGCTGAGGCCTGGTTAGCATTTAACACAAAAATAAGGATGCTTGGCAGTTGGTGTGCAGGGGTGAAATTTGGGGTTCAGAGGAATTGTCTTAAGATTGGCAGGGGGAACTGAGCTTGCTGTGCCCAAGACCTGGATTTGTGCAAATTAGTGCTCATGGGCACCATAATAGTGAACCCCATGCCTGGCCATGGATCTTGATTCAATGCAGGAACTTTCTTCTCGCGTTGATTAGGACAAATGATTAGGACTAATCAATTTGAGTTGATTAGGAGAAATTAGCATAAAGGACAAAGGACTGAAAAAAGTTTCATTAACTCTCCAGGAACGCTAGAGAGCACTGTGCATCTATACAATCTACATTTTGTCAATGCAAGGGGACCGTCATAAAACCCATGATTGGTGCTCCCAGTCACATTCTCTGGCTGTGTCTTGCTGATGCTTCCGTGTCCACTTGTCCATTTTGTTCTTCCCCCTGTTGTCCTGCCTTTGTTTTATTTCTACAAAATGCTCATCAAAGCAGAGGGGGGGAAAAGATAAGCGCCATATATTATTTCATCCGCGGCTTGAACAAACCTCTGTGGTTTTGTTTTTCCAACCATCTTTCTGTTATTGATGGAAGAGAACTTAAACTAGAAATTAAGAAAGGAATGTTGGTGAAAGCATGACGTGGAGTGTGGTTTTCTTAACCACTTAGGGACGTGGAAAACATGGGTTGGGTATGAATGTCCACATTTCCAAATGTCCAGAATTCCAAAGCATCTGGAGGCAAGACAAGAAAGAACAAATAGAGGCTAATCGAAGAGACAAGCAACATAAAACTCAGGAGAAATTTCCTGACAGTGAGAACAATCAACCAGTGGAACAGAAGTTGTGGGTCCTCCATCACTGGAAGCTTTTAAGAAGAGACTGGACAGCCACTTGTCTGGAATGGTGTATGGGGTTGGACTAGAAGACCTCCAAAGTCCCTTCCAATTCTGATGTTCTATGTTCTATGTCTTCTCATGGTAGAATCCTTTCTTTGGCCGGTTGTAGCCTCTCTGTCTTCCCAAATCTCTAGTCAGTCCCAAGAAAAAACTTCAAGAGCAAACTCTTTCCATGGGATTCTTCCATCGGTTGCTCAAGCAGCGTATGGCAGGGTCCCTCAGATGTTTATGACCAAGAAAAAGGTTTAGAACCACCGTCTCCACCTGGTGGTTCCATCCATAGTTTGTCCACTGTCAAGTCATAGTCTTTCCCCCAAAATGCTTTGCTGCATTCTTACCCAGCCACTTGGACTGCAGGAAAGGCCAGGAGATGGATATGCAAATCTGGCCCCATCATTGCTTGGGGATCCAAGCCATCCCAGCAATAACTGTTCCCTGTTCTGCCTTGCAGCAGCTCTGCAGGATCCCTGCTTAGAATATTTTAAACCCTTTCAGCAAAGTCAACGCTGGAGCCTTCCTCTTGCTTTGAGCTCGTGAGGATTTGACCGTGACCAGCTTGGCCCGGGCAACTGAAGGGACCTCTTTGAAGTTGACCGTGGAGAGCGAGTTGTAGGTGGAGGCAATGGTGGCGGTTGGGACCAGGTGAGCTGAGGGCTTCTCCTCAATGATGAACAAGGGCCGGACTGCCAGAGGTCTCTCCACCTCCCGTCTCACTTCCCGTACCGCCTCGTGGAAAATGTGCTGCACAGATTCGAAATCCAGGCATGCCGAGACTTCGTGGAAGGAGAAGCCATACTTGGTGGCAAGAGACATCCCTTCGACTTTGGAGACCTGTCTGGAAGGAGAAGCCAGGATAGAACATAACTGCAATATTCACTTCACTTGCAAGGCCCCAACATGCTGTATTATGGCTTCACGGGATCTTCTGATTCATGTCACCCCTATCAAGGACTGGGGTGTGTGTGTGTGATGTGATAGCAGTCTTCCAATATTTGAGGGGCTGTCACAAAAAAGAGGGGGTCAACCTATCTCCAAAGTTCCTGAGGGCAAGACAAGAAGTAATAGATGGAAACCTATCAAGGAGAGATCCAACCTAAATCTAAGGAGAAACTTCCTAACAGGGAGGACAATTAATCAGTGGGACAGCTTTGCCTTCAGAAATTGTGGGCGCTCCATCACTGGAGGCTTTTAAGAAGAGACTGGACAGTCACTTGTCTGAAATGGTGTAGGTTCTCCTGCTTGAGCAGGGGGCTGGACTAGAAGACCTCCAAGGTCCTATTCTATTCTATTCTATTCTATTCTATTCTATTCTATTCTATTCTATTCTATTCTATTCTATTCTATTCTATTCCATTTGTCTGAAATGGTATAGGTTCTCCTGCTTGAGCAGGGGGCTGGACTAGAAGACCTCCAAGGTCCTATTCTATTCTATTCTATTCTATTCTATTCTATTCTATTCTATTCTATTCTATTCTATTCTATTCCATTTGTCTGAAATGGTATAGGTTCTCCTGCTTGAGCAGGGGGTTGGACTAGAAGACCTCCAAGGTCCCATTCTATTCTATTCTATTCTATTCTATTCTATTCTATTCCATTCCATTCCATTCCATTCCATTTGTCTGAAGTGGTATAGGGTTTCCTGCCTGAGCAGGGGGTTGGACTAGATGACTTCCAAGGTCCCTTCCAACGTTATTATTATTATTATCTGGTGCCAATTTAGTACGGAACTTGAGTTAACTAGATTCTTGTAGACAGGCTTGAGCGATCAATATCTGAACTGCAACTTAACTTATGGTCCTGATCCTTTGCACCTAACATTAATCTAGTCAACTCAAGTTCAGTACTAAATTGGTGCCAGGTAAGGGCCCATGGAATTCAAGAGGGATTGGACTTGGACCTTTTGTGGCAATGTAACGATTCCAAGCTGATGATGTGCTTAACTCCATCCCTCTGCAGCTTTGCCTGCTCTTCTCCTACACGATGCCCCATTTCCCCAGGGATGTGAATCAACCCACCCCCCTCCTTTGGCCGAGCCCTTAACCTCCTTACCTGTACTGTTCCATATCCAGCTTGTTCCCTACCAGGAGAACTGGAGATTCATGGAACATGTTCTTCAGGTGGAGAGCAATGAGGTCCAGGTACTGCTGACATCCTTCAAAGCTCTTCCGGTTGTCTATGCTGTAGACTACTAGAAAGGCATGGGCCCAGTTCAGATACCTCTCACAGCCCACTGGTATGTCCTGGCAGAGAAGCATGTGGGAATGGGTTAGAAGGCCCAGCATCCCCCCTCATCTAACGGCAAACAACACATTCATCTTGGCAGGAATGAAGGCAAAATGGAACTGGGGGAGACACGTAGCAAGGCCAAAGGAGGCCCGGTTCCTTCTCCGGGCGTCTATTGTTTCAAAGCCCCTTTGGACCCAAAAGAGTTGGACGCTGCCCTTGGCACTGCATTAAACACCCATTTTGAGTTTTGATGAAAGGAGTGAAGCGTGTTGCCTTGGGCCACACGTAACTTTTGATCTTATCTCAAATCAGTGTATTTTGATCTTCCAATAAGAGAGGGGAGTTGCATGCCTTCTCCGCTCTTTGCCCTTTGAAGCTGCAACTTTGCTTTAGTTTTAATTAAAAGAAACTTTGTTTTCCATTTTAAATGAAACACTATTCCCTGTATTTGACTCTGGCCTCATAATATTCTTTTAACAATATCCTGAGAAATAGTCTATCTAGAATATAGCAGAAGACACATGAAACTACCAAACGCCAAAGAATGCAGAGAGAGAGAGAGAGAGAGAGAGAGAGAGAAGCAAATAATATGAAAATAAAATATCTTAGTCTTGCTCTTTGCATCGACAAAGTCAAATGAGAAAAAACAACACGACTCAAGAGATGGACTATTAGGTCCCATCATTACTTGTAACTTTGGGACACAGTGCATTTGGGGCAAAACCTCATGGACCCTGGCCACTTTCTACAAAACTGCCCTTTTTTTTAACCTTATATACATCACGCAATCACTCAGGGGATTTAGATACAGAGGTAGATACAGATCACTGAATCACAACTAGCTGTATTCTAGTTAACCCAGGACTGGGTTAGTTTATGGTGAGGGGATCCTTGGCATTCTCGGAGCTCGGTTGCAACCAAGCTCATAGAGCACCAAGGACCCCTCATTTCAACCCTGAGATACAAATATTCAGCCTCCAGAAACTGCCACAGAGCCATTAGTAAACAACCCACCCAAAGAATCCCTAAGACTGCCCCCCACCCACCCAGACAGGCAAGACACCAATATAAACTGATAGCAAACCGCACTCCTTCTAGCACTGATGATGTTACCTAGTTAGGGTAATGAAACATCTGCAAGAAAACAAGCCAGGACCCCATAGTCTGTCCTTCCTTCCTTCCTTCCTTCCTTCCTTCCTTCCTTCCTTCCTTCCTTCCTTCCTTCCTTCCTTCCTTCCTTCCTTCCTTCCTTCCTTCCCTTCCCTTCCCTTCCTCCCTCAATTCCACTCCCTTCTAGCACTGATGATGTTACCTAGTTAGGGTAATGAAACATCAGCAAGAAAAACACCAAAGACCCCTAATTTTTTAAAAATTTTGACTGATGAGGTTTCTTGGATGAGTATCAAAACATCTCAGATTAACAAACTTTGGTCCAATTACTATGATTTTAACCTTTTTAAGATACTTTTGGCCTGGATGAATGAGCTTTCGTTGACATACCTGATCAGCTGTATCCATCACCTTGAGCAAGACATGCTGCTGGTCTACTATCTCTTCCGAAGCGTAAGTGTCTTCTGCAAAGAAAATGCTTTCAAAGTCGGTAGATCATTTTGGGAGAAGTCAGTATTTTTGTACCACCCTAAACTAAGCCATGACCCTCAGAGGAGGTGGCAGATCACAACTCATCTTTCTCATGTAGAGCAACAGCCCTTCTAGGGTGCCGCTGGATTGACATGAACAAAACGCATGGACGTTTTGTTGAGTCAAGAAGCCCTTGAAAAAGCTCTCCAACTACCCAAGCAAATTCCCTGGAAATTATTGCTCAGCTCATGTCTGAGCACAGGAGGCAGACAGCAACAGGCCTTATCCTGCAACCTATTTTTAAACATTAAAATAATAAAAAGGCAATGCTAAACTATCACACGCTTGTCCATCATCCGGTCGCTTTTGTACTGATTGTTCAAAGGAAGAAAAAAAAAAGGAATGTGGAAATTAGACTGCTCCTTCTTATTGAATGCTGCCTGCTTAAATATTGCCTGCATAATTTATTTTGTATACAGATAGTCCTTGACTTTACTTTGGCCACCTAATGAGAAGGAAGGACTCACTGGAGAAGAGCCTAATGCTGGGAAAGATGGAGGGCAAGAGAAGAAGGGGACGACAGAGAATGAGGGGGCTGGATGGAGTCCCTGAAGCAGGAGGCCTGAGCTTAAATGGACTCCAGAAGATGGTAGAGGACAGGAAGGCCTGGAGGAACGTTGTCCATGGGGTCGCGATGGGTCAGACACGACTTCGCAACAACAATAACAAGTCCTTGACTTACAACTGTCTGATTTGCAACTGTTCGAAGTTACTTCACTGGAAAAAAGTGATTTGCGACTCTTTTTCACACGTATGACTGTTGCAGCATCCCCATGATCAAAATTCAGACACTTGGCAACTGACTAGTATTGATGACGGTTGCAGTGTCCCAGGATCATGTGATCACATCTGCACCCTTCTGACAAGCAAAGTCAATGGGGAAGCCAGGTCCACTTAACAACCGTGTAACTAATTCAACAACGGCAGCGATTCACTTAACAACTGCGAAAGGAAGGACATAAACTGGGGCAAAACTCACTTAACAAAAGTCTCGCTTAGTAACAGACATTTTGGGCTCAATTGTGGTCATAATCCGAGGACTGCCCGTACAGCAAATTAGTTCAGTCACCGGAACCTTCACAAGGAGAGCCACAGCTTTGGAAAAGAAATCTCAATCTGCTGAATAAATGGAAAACATCTTTGCAAAAAAAAAAAAAAAGGACCCAGAATTTATTCTCCTGAAAGCCTCCTCTGTCGTTCTTCAATTTCTGGATATGACTCAAAATAGCTACCTGCCAAGAATTTCCAACACAATTATACCCCAGTTTCTTCGTTGCTGATTGATGAAGCTCCTAGCAGTCTGACTTCTTGCTCATAGCTCTCCCTGGATGCACCAATAAACAGAAAACAAACGGAAATAGATGCCGTAGATCAAATCATAATCTTGGTCTAGCTCACTGGCAGAGCCCTGGGGTTTTCTGGGAATGAAAAGACGGCATGTAGTATGATTGTTGCTCCTGATTGTCAGGACCGATTCACTCTGTCACCTGGAACTGTCCAGCGTCAACTGTCCACTGTTCCTTCAGCCCAGGCCCTAACCAAGAGGTTTGTGCAACACATCTGCCAATTACATGGGGTCCCGGAGCGCATTATTTCGGAATAGAGTAGAGTAGAGTAGAGTAGAGTAGAGTAGAGTAGAGTAGAGTAGAGAGTTGGAAGGGACCTTGGAGGTCTTCTACTCTAACCCCCTGCTTAGGCAGGAAACCCTATACCCTATATCTGGCTGATTGGGCGACCAACTGTAATAACCTTGACCTTGGATAGTCTCATAGAGCCTTGGGGGTTAATATTGGCCACTCTGGGGAATCCTGGTTTAGACACTGTGATATGCTACAATAGGCTTGTTTGTTAAATAAACCACCATTGACTCAGTTGGCACAAAGAGCAAAGAAATCACATGATAGTTTAGTGCAACATGTATGTTCTCAGTTACTAATTTGTTTCTAAACTTAAACACTACTTTCCAAGTGACTCAATCCTTCAGCCACCATTTCACAATGGTCCAGTAAAATTAGACCATAAATTTAACATTCCATTAAGCAGGACTGGATTTTAAAACAACACTCAGGCTGAGTTCACACCCAGTCCTCCTCCAAAAAGCAAATACTGACATCTCTTGCTTAGTGTCTCCTTTAAATCAAACCTTCCTTTCAGAATGTTTAGCAGAGATAAAATCCATGCCCAATACAGACAGTTTTACAGCGTTTTAGAATTCAAGGCAAAGCAGTGTGGGTCCAATGCTGGTTTGCAGAGAATAAAAATGCCCCCATTTAATTGCAATAGTAAACTATTACACTTAGGCAAGATAAACCAAACATACAGGTACAGATTGGTGAAACTTGGCTTAACAGCAGTAACTGCAAGAGGGATCTTGGAGTCCTAGTGGACTTAAATATGAGCCAGCCGTGTGCTACAGCTGCCAAAAAAGCCAATACAATCCTAGGCTGTATTAACAGAGGGATAGAATCAAGATCACTACTGCTTTATAATACTTTGGTAAGCCTACATTTGGAATACTGCATTCAATTTTGGTCACCTCAATAAAAAAAAGATATTGAGACTCTGGAAAGAGTGCAAAGAAGAGCAACAAAGATGATTACGGGTCTGGAGGCTAAAACATATGAAGAATAGTTGCAAGAATTGGGCATGTCTAATCTAGTGAAAAGAACTAGGGGGTGACGTGATAGCAGTGCTCAAATATTTGAGGGGCTGTCACAAAGAAGAGGGGGTCAAGCTATTCTCCAAAGCACCTGAAGGCAGGACAGGACGCAACCGATGGAAACTAATCAAGGAGAGAAGCACCATAGAACTAAGGAGAAATTCCCTAACAGTGAGAACAATCAACCAGTGGAACGGCTTGCCACCAGAAGTTGTGGTTGCTCCAATACTGGAGGCTTTTAAGAAGGGACTGGACAACCATTTGTCTGAAATGGCATAGGGTCTCCTGCTTGAGTAGGGGGTTGGACTAGAAGACCTCCAAGGTCCCTCCCAACACTGTTATTCTGTTATGGTTTTCCATCGCCCAGAAATCCAGGAAGCAAACACCAGCTGAAGAGAAGGACAGCAAAGAACACTTTTAAGGTCCCTTTAACTATTGGCTCTTAGGCTTTCATTTCGTCTTGGCTCCCTGCCGTTTCAAGGGGGATTTGTGGGTGGACAAGAGATCTGCATCACAACTCATCAACTTTCTGGAAGTCTTTTAAGTCCAGAAGCCTCTCCTTGCCCTACTAGGCAATCAGTGTTTTCCATCTCTACTTTCCTTGGTATGTGCTCTAAATTTGGCAAGTTGTTTTGAAACGGCCACGAAACATATTTGCAAGCAGAACTTGGAAGAACTTAAAATACCCTGCAGTATGTTTGGAGGGGGGGGAAAACCACAACTCCTGAAGGGGGGCTGAAGTCTTCCAGGGACCCAAGAAGTGGGCCCGTTTTTCTGCTTGCTAGCAGGATCGCTTTTCATTCCCAGCTCCCTGCATTTTGCTTCAGGTCTGCTGGGTGATTGCTGAAGGCCTCTGGATCTGAGCCATTTGCTTCCACCCAAAGTGGGATTTTCCTAGCCTACCGATAATCAACCTGAAACTCTCTCTTTGGTATCCCAACTTCCAGTTTCTGTTCACAGGAATGAACGGACCTTTCAAGTCTGAGTCTTCTGGATTAAACTTGGATTGTAGGTGGTTTCCCCAATAGATGGCAGGCTCTGGTTGACTCAGTTTGGGATCAGAAGCTAAGCTGGTCCAAAGCTGTTTAGTTGGCATGTCTGTGGAGCTTCTCAGTCATCCAGGTCATGGTTGTCCCAAAGATGCTTTTTCAGGAGGCAACTGGACTTCCTTTGTTTTTCTTTGAAGATGTTTTCAAAGAAAAAAACGAAGTCCAGTTGCCTCTTGAAAAAGCACCTTTGGGTTTAGTTGGCATGGAAAACTACCAGGAAATCCTGAGCGAGTTGCGACTGCAAAGGGCAACATGGAGGGACAAAGGAACCAGATTCAGACTTACCCAGATTAGGGTCGTATTCGCTTATAAACCTCTTGGTAAGAAACTTCACCGTTAGCGCTACAAGAAAAGACAGAGGGTTACTTCCTATGTGTAGGTTCTCCCCACCTGTAAGAATTTTTTGCAAAATCAGTTTCTCCTTCAACTAATTTGAGATTCTTCCCTGGCAAAGCCCCTGCCCTTGAAAAATATCCAGAAGCTTCACCTGATGCAAAATGTGATGCTGTGGGCAGTTATGAGCAGGGGGTTGGACTAGAAGACCTCCAAGGTCCCTCCCAACTCTGTTATTCTGTTATTCCTAGAACTGCACAAGTTACACCTCTGCTCCGCAAGCTGCATTGGTTGCCAGTTTCCTTCTGGGTTTAATTCAGGATGCTGGTTTTTAACCTTCACCAGTGGGTTTTGTCAGCCCAGACAATCAAGTGAATTGAGCAAACCATGATTAATTAAATTATTGATAAGCAGATACCAGGTCTACTTAAGAGAAGATGAAGAGGCAATGTCCTCTCCTGGACCCACCCAGGCCGCCTCAACTTGGTTTTCCCAAGATGTGTTGCATTTCCTTCCCATATGTCCAAATTTGCAAAATGGCGGATAAGGGTAGGCAAAGCTACAATGAACCATCTTCAGAATAGCGCACGAAGACTGAGATGCTGCCCCAGAAGGAACAGTCTTGTCTCCTAACCTGATTTCCCAGATCCTTGGCAGCCCAGAATGGCCACATTGCATTCCTGCAGGAGGCTTGGGAGGTGGCGTTCGTTCACCCAGGGGACAGCTCGAGATTTGCCAAACATGGAAGACATCTTTCAACTCTGTGAATAAAACCCAACAATGAATAATTCTGCATTGACAGGGGCATAATATCAAGATTGTGTGTAGTGTACCGCTTTATATTGCTTTAGTAAGACCACACTAGGAGAGCCGTGTTCAGTTTTCATCACTATGACACAAATAAGATGTTGAGAGACTATAGGAAAGGGCGCAGAGAAGAGCAACAAAGGTGATTAGGGGACTGGAGGATAAAATATATAGTTGCAGGAACTGGCTATGTCTGCTCTAACAAAGAGAAAGACTAGGGGTGACCTGACAGCAGTCTTCCAATATTTGAGGCTGCTACAGAGACAAAGGGTCCACCTATTCTCAAAAGCGCCAGAATGCAAGACTAAAAACAATGGATGGAAACTTCCACCCGTTGCTTCTGGAGGCAGGACAAGAAGCCACGGGTGGAAACTAACCAAGGAGAGAAGCAACCTAGAACTAAGGAGAAACTTCCTGACAGTGAGAACAATTAACCAGTGGAACCACCTGCCTCCAGAAGCGGTGAATGCTCCAACACTGGAAGTTTTTAAGAAGAGACTGGACAGCCATTTGTCTGAAATGGTATAGGGTTTCCTGCCTGAGCAGGGGGGTGGACTAGATGACCTCCAAGGTCCCTTCCAACTTTACTATTATATTATATTATATTATATTATATTATATTATATTATATTATATTATATTATATTATATTATATTATATTATATTATATTATATTATATTATATTATATTATATTATATTATATTATATTATATTATATTATTATATTATATTATATTATATTATAATATTATATTATATTATATTATATTATATTATATTATATTATATTATATTATATTATATTATATTATATTATATTATATTAATTATATTATATTATATTATATTATATTATATTATATTATATTATATTATATTATATTATATTATATTATATTATATTATATTATATTATATTATATTATTATATTATTAATCAAGGAGAGAAGCAACCTGGAATTGAGGAGAAACTTCCCAACAGTGAGAACAATCAACCAGTGGAACAGAGGTTTTTAAGAAGAGGTTGACCAGCCATTTGTCTGGAATGGTATAGACTAGAGTAGAGTCTCCTGCTTGAGTAGGGCCTTGGACTAGAAGACTCCCAAGGTCCCTTCCAAAGTTGTTATTCCATTATTCTTTTCTTTGGCTGTCAGTTCCACTGCACAGATTAAAATGGCACATTGGCCCTTCTCTCCAATTCAGGTTTCTGATGTTGGCAAAATTCTATCATGTCTGGTTTTGGATGGGGTGGCACTGCTCCAGACAGACCTAGTGGGCAATCTGGCCTTCTTCCTGGACTCTCTTACTAAAACAAAAAAAATATCTTAGAATTGAACAAAATTGGCTTAACATGATGCAGGAACTCAGTCACGGGATAAGTAATTGATGGAATTTAGTGTTAACTGAAATTTCAGCAATTTGGGTAAAGGTTTTCTCCTCCCTAGCCAGAAATGAGTCAGAATTTCTGAACATAAACAGTGACTTAAGACAAAATTATAAGGTTTTTTTTTCCCCCCAGCCTGAACACAAGCAGTAGAAAGACAAAGGTATTCACGCGACGCCTAAGCAAATGTCTCTACTCGTGCCTTAAAATAACTGAGCTATATATCTTGGTTTACAGACCACCCAATACCATAAGCCAAACTCTGCAGATGACAGGATGACACAAGCTACGTTGCCAGCTCAGCCGAAAGGAAGCAGCTGTCTGGCTTTAAAAAAAAACAACCGGCATCTCTCGGGCGACTTTCACTTTGTCCTCTTGAAGCTGAAGGAGCCGCTCTCTGCATGAAAACTGAGATCGAGAAATATCTGGGAGTCAAAAAGCAACAAGTAAATGTTGTTAAAAGTTTTTTTTTCCCCCCATTCCCGAGAAGTTAGTCTTGCGCCCTTTCTGTAAATCAGGGGTAGTCAACCTTGGCTCTTTTATGACTCGTGGACTTCAATTCCCAGAATTCCTGAGCCAGCCAGGCTGGCTCAGGAATTCTGGGAGTTGAAGTCCACGAGTCATAAAAGAGCCAAGGTTGACTACCCCTGCTAAATAAATATTGTTGTTGGG